GTCATCAAGACAGCATGGTATTGGCACAAAAACAGACATATAGACCAATGGAACAGAATAGACAGCCCAGAAATGAACCCACAAACTTTTGGTCAACTCATCTTTGACAAAGGAGGCAAGAATATACAATGGAATAGACAGTCTCTTCAGCAAATGGTGTTGGGAAAACTGGACAGCAGCATGTAAATCAATGAAGCTGGAACACTTCCTTACACCAGACACAAAAATAAACTCAAAATGTATCAAAGACTTAAACATAAGACAAGATTCAATAAAACTCCTTGAAGAAAATATAGGCAAAACATTATCTGACATATATCTCAAAAATGTTCTCCTAGAACAGTCTACCCAAGCAATAGAAATAAAAGCAAGAATAGACAAATGGGACCTAATGAAACTTACAAGCTTCTGCACAGCAAAGGAAACCAAAAGTAAAACAAGAAGAAAACCTATGGAATGGGAGAAAATTTTTGCAAATGAAACCGACAAAGGCTTGATCTCCAGAATATATAAGCAGTTCATACAACTTAATAAGAAACAACCAAACAACCCAATCCAAAAAGGGGCAGAAGACCTAAACAAGAAATTTTCCAGGGAAGACAAACAAATGATTATTAGGCACATGAAAAAATGCTCCATATCACTAATTATCAGAGAAATGCAAATCAAAGCTACAATGAGGTATCACCTCACACCAGTCAGAATGGCCATCATTCAAAAATCCACAAATGACAAATGCTGAAGAGATTGTGGAGAAAAGGGAACCCTCTTACACAATGACTATTTTTGTTATATTTCACATCTAATTTTTTTGTGTATCCTTAACTGCTTATTATGGATATAGATGATTCTACTACTTTTGTTTTTCAATCTTTCTACTACCTTTGTCTGTGGATGAATTCCTAATTTTGTTGTATGTTTGTCTTTACTGATGACCTTTTTCCTTTCATAAGTTTCAGGTTTCTAGTTGTAGTCTTTTCTTTTTCACTTGGTGAAGATCGTTTAACATTCCTTTAATGCTTTTGGTGATGTTGAACTCTTTTAGCTTCTGCTTGTCTGTAAAGCTTTTAATATCCTCATCAAATGTAAACAAGAGCCTTGCTGGGTAAAGTATTCTTAATTATAGGATTTTCCCTTTCATCACTTTAAATATATCGTGCCACTCCCTTCTGGCCTGCAGGGTTTCTGCTGAAAAGTCAGCTGATAGCCTTATGGGAGTTCCCTTTTATGTTACTTGTTGCTTTTCCTTTTCTGCTTTTAATATTCTCTCTTTATATTTAATTTTTGCCAATTTTATTACAATATATCTTGGTGTGATCCTCTTTGGGTTAGTCCTGTTTGAGACTCTGAGCTTTCTGGACTTGGATGTCTGTTTCCTTTCCCAAGTTAGGGAAGTTTTCAGGTATTACCTCTTCAAATATATTCTCAGGCCCTTTATGTCTCTTCTCCTTCTGAGACCCCTGTAATACAAATATTAGTGTGCTTGATGTTTTCCCAGAGGTTTCTTTAATTTCCTTAGTTTCTTTTCATTCTTTTTTCTTTTTTCCATTCAACATCCATGATTTCAATTACTCAATCTTTTAGCTCACTTATCTATTCCTCTGTATCATGTAGTATACCACTGATTCCTTCTAGTATATTTTTTCATTTCAGTTGTTATATTCTTCATTTGTTTTGTTATTCTTTATATTTTCTAACTCTTTCTTTAAAATGCCTAACTTCTTGCTTTGTGCATCCTTTCTTTCTTGAGATCTTTGATTGTCTTTATGATCACTTCCCTGAACTTTTTCTTGGGTAGATTGCCTATCTACACTTCACTTAGTTCTTCTTCTGGTGTTTTATGTTGTTCCTTCATTTGGAACATGTTCCACTGTCACCTCATTTTGCCTAACTTGCTATTTTTGTTTTTATGTATCTGATTATATTTCCCGAACTTGAAGAAGTGACCCTTTGTAGGAGATGACCCAGGTGTCCCAACAGTGTACTCCCCTCTCATCTCCAAAGCTATGTGCTCTAGGGGTTTTCCCTAAGAGAGCTGCATGGATCTTTCTGTTGTGGTGGGTGGGCTGGCTATGTGGGCAATCTGGTAGGCTTGGTTGACCCCCAGTCTGGTTGGTTGCCATGTCCTGCCTTGTGTAGAGGCTGCCAGGTGCTGATTGGTGGGACTGGGTGATGAGGGGGCTGAATGTGGAACCCTGGGTGCCCCAGAGCTAGTGTGGGCTCACTGGTGGGCAGAGTCAGGGTCCAAGAGACCCCAGAGCTGTTTTCCACTTACTGGTGGTTGAAGCCAGGTCCTGTGGCTAGTACAGCTTATTGGCAGGCAAAGCTAGGTCCTGGGGTCTTGTTGCGGGTCCCAGGGGCCCAGAGCTGGTGTAGGATCACTGAGCAGTGGGGCTGGTTCTTGGCACTGTTGGATGTGGGGCCTGGAGTATTTTGAAGCTTGTGTTGGCCTACTAGTGGGCAGACCAGGGCCCCACCAGCCCCAGGGCAGGATCTAGCATGTTGGTGTACAGGCCGGATCTGCACACTGCAAGGCTGTGGTTTTCTTGTGGCTGGTGTCTGACCAGTGGTGAGTGGAGCTGGGTCTTGGGCCCTGTTTGAGGCAGAGCCCTCTCCAGGGACAGCTCTGGGCTCAGGGGGTCTTAAGGCAGTCTTTGTGCTGGTAGTTAGGGCTGTGTCCCCACTTAGTTAGTCGCTTGGCCTGAGGTGTTGGGCCAAAGTGGGCTGGGTCCTGGTGCTAAAAAGCTAAAGAGAGGATTCCACAATGGTGTTTACTAGCACCAGTGTCCACATGGTAGAACCAGCTCCTCAAAATAGCTGCCACCAGTGTCTATATCCCCAGGGTGAGCAGCAGTGGCCTCCTGCTCTCAAAGATCCAGGAGGCTCTCAAAGATCAGCAGATGGGTCTGACCCAGGCTCCTATCAAATTACTACTTTTTTCCTGGGTCCCAGAATGTGTGAGATTTTGTGTGCACTCTTTGAGAGTGAAGTCTCTATTTCCTCCAGCCCTCTACGACTCCTGAAAGTAAGCCCTGCTGGCCTACAAAGCCAAATGCTCTAGGGACTCATCTTAGTGCAAGGACCCTAGGCTGGAGAGCCTCATGTAGGACTCGGTATTCTTACTCCTTAAGGAGAATCTCTGCAATTGTAGTTATTTTCCTGTTTGTGGGCCACCAACCTGGGGACATGGGACTTAACTATATCATGACTCTGCCCCCTCCTACCTATCTTGTTGTAGTTCTGTATTTAGTTGTAAAAGATCTTTTCTAGTAGGTTCCAGGCTTTTTCATCAATAGTTTTTCTGCAGATAGTTGTGATTTTGATATGCCTGTGAAAGGAGGTGCCTTCAGGGTCTTCCTACTCATTCATCTTGGTCGATCTCCCCTTAAGCTTTAATCTTATGATTGTTACCTTCCTGGCTCCACCCTCTTTGCTGTCAAATTCCCCCAAGAAATTGACTGTTTACCTGGGCCAAATTCTACAGCTTGTTAACATTTTTCATCAGACTTTCCCTAACTACCTGACTGAAATTTCTTGTATCATGTACATTGAATCTGTTATTTAGTATTTGCCTTATGTTAATGAGTGTGTCTAGGCTCCTGCTAACAATCCTTCTCCATGTGGTCTGCATAGTTATTGGCCAACTTATTAAGTTTTAGCTTCATTTCTCATAGATGTAGAAATAAAATATTAACCAATTGTTGTTCTAATTGATTTCTTGAAGAATAAGATGATCGATCTCATTTTGAGAGGTGCTTATTGGTTCTTCTCTTTTTCAATATACTTGTCCCTAGTATTTCCTTAGGTCAATATTAGCATCTCTGTTTCGTTTTTTGTAATAAGATGTCATTGGGTTTATTTCCATTACTGTAGATTTGGGGGGAAGACCTTTCCCCTCTACTTAATTACCTAATAGCATTAAAATTTTTATAAAGATATTATTTATATTCAATAAAGCTATCCATTCTAAATGTACAGTCAGATTAATTTTGGTAATTGTATACAATTGTATAACCATCACACACATAGCCTGGTTTGGGAACCAGTCATACCTGTGTCTACATTCAGCCTACTTTTAGTAATTTTCTAAGGTGGCTTTTATACACACTGCAGTTTGAGTACCACCGCCATATTTATTATTGTTGCTTGGCCCAGGGTTATTTTGCATCAGCTCCACTTTCTCTCGTTTTCTTTCATAGACTGTTGATGTATTGTGGGACAGTTGGTTTCCCAGCATCCAAAGATAGTTGACTTTTATTTTTCTACCAATGTTACCACATCCAGAGCCATATATTCAGCTAGGGTGGACTCAGATAGTGGAAACTGTCATTACATTTGGTTTAGCCTAATATTAATGAGGTTTGGTGCTTTCACAAACTCATGTTCTGACGTTCAGTGCCAAATAGAAATGCTTTTTGTCTAAACCACTATTTGTAATTCAGTGGCTTATAGGTACCACTGTGGCCTGATACTCCAGATCTCAAGGACACACCTAAGTATAGACAATGAAGAAAATAATTATTTCTCATTTTAAGAGAAATGAGTGGTTTTAGAATTAGACCTTCAAAACTATGCCCTGGGTTTCTGTACCAATATGATACAGAGTGAAACAATAATGTAGATCAGCAATTTTCTATGAGATGAACAAGTGCTGTTTAGCATCATCATACTCTCCTCACAGTATTCTCTATAGAAATATAAAGTGGGTAAGTAATGAGCTAGAATAATTTTTAAAAGTATCCTAGAAATTAGGAATACTCACTATTCTGTGTCTCACTTTCCCCATTTTATAATAAAGAGGATAAATTAAATAGTCTCTGAGGGCCCTTCTCACGAACTGTGGGGAGAGGAAGAAGAAATGTTAAATTGCTTTACTCTTTCAGCTTAACAATTAGCTCTTGAATTGATTAATGCTCTGCTGGCAACTACTGTATTTTAGTGAAGATGATTTAGTATTTCAGCAACCACTAGATGCTTATAAATGTGCCAGCTTAGTGTATTGAAATTAGTAAGGTTTCTGAAGGTATTTCAAACTGGCCTTAATTAAATGCTGGATAGATACAGTCCAAGGTTAACCACTTAATAAATTGGCAACCAAATAAAAAATGGAATCAAACATTTTGAGCAGCTTACTGGAATGGATCTGGGCTCTCCACCAAGAGATCTGCAGCAATGTTGGCAGCAGGCTGGGTCATTTTCAAGCTCCTTACTCATTGTCACTATATCCTTTCACCCAGGACTGAATCCTTCCCCCTAGAAAAAAAACTGCATAGTATCAGTATTGCTTCATCTGTAGCAACAATTATTGTGCTAATGTCCACAGACTAAAAGAAAATCTCCACATGAAGTGTGAATGATTGTGACAAGAACCATCTTCAATTAACTGTGTATTTGAGCATAAGAATATTGTAAAGGAGGACAATAGTGATAGTTCTTAGGTATGTAAAAAAGTTATTTGCTATTTCTCTGAAGTGGTATTTAAGTTGAAGTCTAGATTAAAGGTAAAGGGAAATTGATTAGAAGAACAGATCATAAAATAAGATTATTTGATACTGTTTAAAATAATGTACAGAGTGATACTGAAGATTTGAAAGCAAAAAGTAATGAAGATTTGACCATGTAGCTAGTGAGTAGATTAATTCAAGAACATTTCTGTTTTCTAAGAAGCTAAAGTAATAGATATTATTACTCAAGTTGTTAAGGAGATATATTTGTAAAAAATCCTGAGCATTTTCTTGTCAAGAAAATCAAGAAACACAATAAGCAGCTACTTTATGCTCAATTCTGTGCTGAGTGCTATGGAGAATATGAGGAAGAAATGAGATTCATGCCTGAGAATTCTTACAAAGGAAGCATGACATAATGGAAAGAGTTATGGACTGAGAGTCAGAAGACTTGGATTCCATCAGCTTACCCTGTGACTTTGGCCAAAGGACTTCTGTCTGAGCTTCAGATTCTGACCATTGAAATAGGATTCAATGAGATGATATGTGAGAGTACTTCAGAAATTATGAAAAGCTAGTCAGATGCTGTCAATGACAAGACAGCTGCTAATGACTGGAGGAAAAATAATGTACTAAAAAAACTTTGGTGGTCAAACAAATCTGGGGTCAAAGTCTCTCTTTGTCATTTACTAGCTATAGTGGCCTTGGGAAGTTACTTAAGCTTTATGAGCTTCAGTTCCCCATTTGTAAAATTAGGATAATGACAACAGCAATGAATATTTATTTTATAATATTGTTGTCTGTCACATGTTTTGTGATGGTAGCCTTTGTGACTCATATACAAAATGAATATAATTAAGTAGAAAACTGTATGATATAAGCTGTAAAGGTAACGGAAATTTAAAATTCCATGTCAAAATATATTGTGAGCAAAGTTCCATGATAGTGGAAATAACTGAGAGTAGCACTTTTCAGAAATTTTATGTAATGAAAATAAGCCTTTAAAAGAACATCATTGTATGTTTTGAGAAATGATGTGAGATTAGAGCAGCAGCACTGGAGACAGATAAATCTGAGAGCTAAAGAAGTAAAATCTATAAAAGTTGAGTGAAAACATGGCAAGTGAGGGAAAGTTACTCTCGAGTTTTTGGCTTGGGTGACTGAATAGATGATGGTACCATTCATTCATTCAACAAAAATGTATTGATGCTTACTGTGTACTAACTTCTGGAAATAGGGTGGTGAGCTAAACAGACATAGTTTTCATCATGTACATGTTACAATCTAGTGGAGGAAACAGGATATAAACAAAATAAACAAAAAGTGTAGTTCTAAGCTGTGGTAAATATTAGGCAAGAACAGTACAGAGTGTTATGTCAAACTACACCATAGAGACGTAATAGTGAATACAAGAGAATGACAAGATTTTGAGTGAGAAACAAAGTGATGATTCATTTTTTGAACATGTTAAGCCTTGAAGTATCAGTGGGAAATATAGTTGAAGATATCTAGAAGGCATGTGAAGATACAGATTTGGATCTCAGAGTAAGAACTGGGTAGCAAACATTAAACGAAAATTTATTCACACGGTGATTGAAGTTACAAGATTACATGAAGTCACCTAAAAACAGCAAAAAGAGCAGGGAACCCCAGAGGGTGTGTATGTGTGTATGTATGTGTGTGTGTGTGTGTGTGTGTGTGTGTATGTGTGTGTGTAGTCTTGTTTTAATTTTAATTGGATTTGAAAGACTTTGGTTGGAGCACAAATTATAATTCAAAACACAGTCCATATATCATTCCTTATTTTCTTATATCTGACAATTCAACCTCATAAATTTATTTTGCCTGTTTTGCCTCTGGAAACATTTGAGTTTTTAATTTCTGGTGTAGCAAGAAAGACAGTGGGCTTCCTAACATTTAACATTTAAAACAAATTTTAATCTAGCAAAATATTTTAAATACAGTTTTAAAATTATCACACAGAAAAATGGACTTTTCTCTATTTTGATATACAGTTCTATGAATTTTAACATAGATAGATGATAGATAGATAGATAGATAGATAGATAGATAGATAGATAGATAGATAAAATTACCACCACAATCTGGACACAATTTCAACACCCCCAAAATCTCCCTCATTCTACCATGTTACAGTCATCTCTCCCTTCACTCAGGCACTGAACTCAATTTCCTAATACTTTGTGTTGGTTTCTGCACCTATGTTCTCCAATGATATTAGTCTGTTATTTCTTGTAATTTCGTGTAATATCTTTGTCTGGTTTGGTATGACAGTAACATTGGCCTCATAGAATAAGCTATTAAGTATGCCCTTCATTGTTCTAGCTGTTAATGAGACCAAGGATTACAAAAAACCCCTCCAATGATGCTATGATTGTTGTTCACTCTCCTTTGGGTGGGAGTTTGAAGGGATGATGACATGACACTGGGGCAGCAAGTCCTAGGACTCCAGCCAAAATGCAATGTATGCTGAGCCAAAGAACCATCAACAAAGATAGTGTCAGCTATGAGGATTTAGAGCTTTGAATGGAGCAAAACATTAGAAGTTCATTTGTTGAGCCTGAGCAGGTGCCCACTTGAAAATCCAAAGTAAGTGTAAAGCTTTCTTGTAGACCTTCTTTCTCACTCTGCACCCCTCTTTCACTCTCTCCCCTTCTCCCCTAGTCTCAAGTGAGTACACTGGGGAATTTGGGAGAAAGGGGGGACTCAAACTTTTATAGGTGCCCAAGTCACCAGCTTACCTGATCCTGTAGGGGTATTTAAAAACATTGAGGGTTGCAGAGGAAAGCTGCAGCAGCATGTGGGGGGCAGGCAGAAAAGGCCTATGGCCTGGGCCCTTGCTGGTATCTAGGAAGTACATGGGGAACAGGTATCATCAACTCTGTGTCAAGTAGCCAAAGAGAAAAAAGTAACCCTGCAGCTCAGCCTCATAAAAGGTATCCATAAAAATCCTGGAGCATACGTTATACCTAAAGGTGAAAGAATGAATACTTTCCCTCTAAGATCATGAACAAGAAAAGGTTCTCAACTCTTATAATTTCTGTTAAATATAGTATTGAAAATTCTAGATAGTATGTAAGGGGGGAAAGAAAGAATAGTTACACTGATTGCAAAAGTAGAAGTAAAACTATTCATAAATGACTTCATCATCTATGTATAACATCTTAAGGAATCTACTTAAAAAGCTATTTAAAGTAGTATGATCACAAGACATGTCAATGTACAAAAATTAATTGTATTTCTATGTATGAAGCAATGAACACTTAGAAATTAAAGATTTTAAATGCCATTTACAGAAGCATACAAAAGCATTAAACATGGATGAATAAATTAAATAAAATATGTTCAAGACTTATAGACCTAAAAGTGAAAAATATTGTTGAAATAAATAAACATAAGATATAAATAAGTGGAAAGATATACCATGGTCATGTATTAGAAGTCTCAATATTTTAAAGATGCAATGTTAGTTTTCTGTTGTGTAAGAAATTACCACAAACTTTGTGACTTAACACAAATTTTTTATCTCATAACTTATGTGAATCAGGAGTCAAGGTACAAGTTAGTTGGATCCTCTGTTCAAGGTCTCACCAGGCTGGCTGAATTCAAGGTATTGGTCAGGGCTGTGATCTCAGGGTCCTCTTCCAAGCTTACTGGTTATTAGAGAATTCACTTACTTGTGGTTGTAAGACTGGGGGTCAGCGAATCACTAAGTCCTCTGAAGCACTAGAGCAAATGGATAAGTTGGAGATTTTCAGGGTAACCTGAGAATCCAATTACATCCAGCCACTAAAGTAGAACAGTGAAGTGAAAGCTCATGTGGAGGTCTATGGGGAATGTTTGCCTTTGTTTAAGCTATAACCTCTTTTGGACCTAGAATCTGATGGTAGATCTGGGCTGCAGTTGATCATCACGGTAAACAGTCACAAATAAAAGTTATACTGAGCAGACGAAAGAAATGACAAACCAGAATCTATCAGGTACCTCCGCATCTATCACCATAACTGCAGCAGATTTGTATTTTTCAAAGATGGCTGCAACAATACCTTCCATTTTACATGCTCTTCGGTAATATGTCCTTGCAACTTCCCCATTAAGAGGTGTAGTCTATTTCTTACTCCACTGAAGCTGGGTCCCACCTGTGACTACTTTGACTAACAGAGCATGGTGTAAGTGAAACTATGCCAGTTCTGAGCACAGCACTTACCTGGCATAAACACTCTGTTCCTGCCTCTTGGAACACTCACTATTAGTAGATACCCTCATGGAATCCAGCTTCCATGCTGTAGAAGACCAAGCCACATGATGAGGTCATATGTAAGTGCTCTAGTCCATATCCCCACCTGAACTCTCAGCCAGGAGTCAACCAAGTGCATGAACCATTTTGGATGTCCAATCCAGTTGATTTTTTTAGATAAATCTAGCCCAGATACCATCTATCTGAAGCTGTCAGATCGCAAGTAAGAGGCATTCAGCTAAATCCAGTCAATCCACAGAAACATAAGAGCAAATAATAAAGTTTTTCAGCCACTAAATCTTGCGATGATTTGTTATATAACAATAGACAAACACAACTGTATCTGCTCATGAAGCAACTCCAATAATTATATCCATTGCTTCACTCTCACTTTTGAAATCTCACATAGGTTCCTTTAACACAGAACCATTCAAATAAAGTGATTCTGCGAAATGTATTTTCTAGATTTACTAAGATGACAACACTTGGTATATTTAGCTTAACTGTATAACTTTGGCTATTGGAACGTGAACTGACATGATGCAAGCAGAGGCTTTAAGTATGTTTGTGTGTTGGCTTATTCTTGCACTTTTACTGTCTGCCATGAGGAGAACTTGCTCTGGATAACCTCTGGTGTGGTCCCACGATAATAAGATACATGGTGCAGACCTGAATCCAACCCTTAGTCTGGAGTCAAGCCTAGCCAAGCCCAGCAGAGCCCAGCAGAACCACAAATGACTAGCAGATTCTTTTATAAGAAGTAAATACTTGTTTAAGTCACTGAGATGTTGGAGTTGTTTGTTACATAGCATTATTTCAGGCAATAACTATTATAACAGGTAAGTAAGTGTAAAGAACCAAACATTTTTTCTGCCTTTCTTGATGAAAGTCCTTCAGGATAACCAAATAGTTCTTTTAGAAAAGGTCTTCTTTATAGAAGAATCCCAGGTTATAAATGCAAGAATGATAGGATATCACCATTTGGAAACCTATAATGAAATGACAGTTCTAAGTAAAGATCATCAAAAACTACAAAAATTACTAGGTGAAAAGTGGTTGGGCAAGGTTATAATGGATAGGTCAGGCTGACAACACATGAACAAACTAATCAGTGTTAACATCACAAAAAAGAGAAACAACCAGATATTATGTGTCTCCCGATGTGATGCAATAAGAAGTAAAAACAACACTACTTACAATTTATTCTTGCTAAAATTTGAATCTAAATCTGATAAACCTCTATACTTAACTACAGGAAATAAAGGTCAGAGGAACTGGTGAGTGTGGTATTGTGATTATATTTAAAAATGTGTCCTTATCTTTTAGAGATACACACTGAAATATTTATAAATGAAATGATACATCTTGGTCTTGTTTCAAAATTGAGGGCAGTGTGTGTGGGGGAATGGTATGGATGAAACAAGATTGGCTAACAACCTAGGTTTTTGGCTGGAGCAACTGGGTGCCTGGTGGTATAGTTAGTAAGATATGAAGCCAGAGAGAGAAATAGATTTTGATCAGGAAAATGGCAGTGCCACATCAGGAGTTCTGTTTTTTGATACATTAGATTTGAAATGCTTATTATATATAGAAATGGAGATATCACGCAGATAATTAGATATAAGAATCAGGGGCTCAACTGAGAGGTCACACTTGAGATGTAACTTTGAGTGTCACCAGATCCTATAGTTTACACTCTCTCTGTGTATCTACATGTCTTTAGTACTTTCTAGATGAAGTAGGAGCTATTCTGTTCTCTAAAGTTCCTACCACTTCTGTAGGGAGTGTCAGTTTGTTTAGCCACTTTGGATGTCAAGTTAGCAGTATGTAGTAAAATTAAAATAGACATCCTCAATGACCAAACAATATCACTTCTCTGTATCAACCCTAAAATAACATTTGCACAAGAACATAAGCAGACATGCAAGGGTACTCCCACAACCTTACTTGTAATAGCAAAAAATTTGAAACAACCCAAATTTCCACCAACAAGGGGATGGCTAAATTTAAAATATTTCCATACTGTGGAATATTATGCAATATTTTAAAAGAATGCAGAATATCTCTGGGTAATTAAAAGATCTACAAGATATATTGTTGAATTTTTTTTAAAAAAGGAAGTAGAAGAAGAATATTTCCACTTCTCTGTTGATACCTTTGGAAAAGAACTATGTGTGTGCATGCACATGTGTGTATGCATATATATGTATATATATATTAAAAAGTTTTAAATGTTTCAAATATTATATAACAAACATAACATTGGCTACATTTGTGTAGGATACTGGCTTTGGGGGCTGGTCAAGAGAACTTTTAGCTTTAAAAGTAATGTTTTAATTTTATAATGAAAAGAAGTTTATATGTTACTTACAAAATTATCTTTTATCTAATTTAAAAGAGTAGAGTAACATTTATGTAACCATCTGGAATCAAGTCATACTAAACTACATAGTGAAGTGGTTAGGAACAGGGGCTTTGAAGTGGGGCTTCCTAGATTTGAATCCTGGCTCTGTTTGAGCAAGATGCATAAATTCTCTATGCTTCTGTTTCCTCATTTTTAAAATAGAGATAACAGTATTACTTATTTCAAAAGGTTGTGTTAAAATAATATATGCCTAGCACATAGTAAGTGATCAATAAATCTCAGCTGTTTTTTAAAATTGTTTGTGTTTCCAATAATAAGCTTCTGTTTTTGTATATTAAGACTATCTAGATACTATTCTTGTGATTAAGATGATGAAATGTAGGCTGAATATTATTGTCAGGATATTCACAGCAGATTCATTCATTAAATATTTTGTATACCTATCATGTGCAATTGTGCCCAAAGTATTTTCATTCATAGATTCCTGTCTTATTGAAAAGCCATAGTGTAGTACTATTCAGTGGTTTTGTCAAAGACCTGTGAAAAAAGAAAGAAAAAAGAAAAATGAAGTTCATGCAAATCTTCAAAGGAATACCAAATCCACTGATAACTTGTAGTGTTGAATCCAATAAGATGAAAGAATTTTTTTCATAAAGTAATCTTAAATTAGATCTTAAAGTTTCTTTCATCCAGCAGCCACTCAATGCTAAATACTCTCCCCAGTATCCCAAATAAGAATCATTCTATCTCTTCTTAAGTGTTGTTTTTAACAGAGGACTCATTATTTCATGAAGCAGATTGTTCAATTATTGAGCTGCTAGAACTGTACCTTATGTTGACCCTAAATCAGCAGCTCTGCAACTTCAAGAACTAGCTCCTTTCCCCACTACACTAGTGGATTCTCTTTCATCCTTTACATGGCAAATTTTTTGAATGTTTGTAGATATTGATCCTGCCACCTTAGAATCATTTTATTTTCAAGCTAAAAATTCCTGCACTTATTTGACTTCTTATCACTCTCTTTATCCTCTGGACCAATTCTAGTTCAGTGGTGTTCTACTTTAAGTACAGGGCTTAGTATTTTTGTTGCTGGGAAAGTACATCTGATATCGCAACTCACCATTTTTGCACATATCAGAGAGATAATCTGGAGCAGTTGTTCTTCTAATGACCTCGTATAATTAACCCTTGTGGTGTCTAATTAAAAATAAACATATATCAGGGTCCCTATGTTTCCCTGTGGAAGTGTTCTAATTTATTTTTGTCCTCTGGCTACTACTTTACATAAGATAACCATAGGGCAGTTAATTTTGGAAACATATGATAGAAACTTCCAGTTCAGTTTTTTTTTCCTTGATGTACTTTTAATCAATCCCTCTGGCTATACTCAATGATAGTTTTCTTATACCTATGTATTATTCAATCCCTAACTCTATGTAGGCAATACTAAAAATTAAACCTTAAAATGACATGACCTAGGTTAACCCCATCTTCAGACCTACACCATTTTCCCCTCTGAAGACAAGTGACAGATACTTTCCTCAATCCATGAAAATCTTGGCCTACTCTAAGAAATATGAGAACTCCAAGGGAGGCCACACCAGCATACTGGAGCCTATTTATTTAGACCCTTCTAGACCTTTTGGTTATAAAGTTCTGATTCCTAGAGAGCTCAGAATTTGCTCTTTTATTAGGGTCACTGAATTCACAGTTATTTTGTTCCTCTGTCCCTTTAAGGTAAGTCTCAGCTGATTCCCATAAGACTGGAAAACTTCCAAGCATTGGGGATCCATCCTTGGATCTCTTCTCTATCTATAATTACTCCCCTCCCTCAACTAATTTTACTGTGTTAAATATCATATATTTGCTGATAATACAACATGTCTCCTATTCAAATCTCTCCCTTAAATTCTGCCATCCATGGCATGAGATTCATCCTAAGGCTGGCTCCCTGTAAAGTCACAGGATGGCTGCTGCAGATATCAGGACTAAATTCTTACTTGTTTCTGTCTACTGAAAAATAGACTGTAATGCTTCCCAATATAATAAAATTATATAGTAATTATATAATGAACTGTTTATCAAAATATTTTTCTATAATAAATTTCTATTATCATGTCGTTTTTTTCCCTTTTCTTTTTAACATTTTTTATTGATTTATAATCATTTTACAATGTATCAAATTCCAGTGTAGAGTATAATTTTTCACTTATACATGAACATATATATATTCATTGTCATAGTTTTTTCTCCGTGGGCTACCATAAGATCCTGTATATATGTCCCTGTGCTAC